AGAGACAGATTAAGGAAAACACCGCAAAATTAAGGAAAACACAGATAAAACCTTAGAACAATTTTGGAAGAAAATACAAGAACAAAATGACAAAATAAATGAAAAATTATAAATGATACAAAATCTACAGACAGAAATCTAGAAGATTAATACTAAATTTTCTGAAATACATAACACATTGAAAGGGCAAAGGAGTAGAACTGATGCAATGGAACACAGAGTTAATGAGATTGAAGACAAATACCCAAACACTTCTTTGGAAAGGGATCAATCAAAAAAAGATCAAAACAAAATGAAGAAAGCCTAAGGTTTCATGTGGGACACCATCAAAAGGAATAACCTACCTATAATCAGAAGTCTAGAACAGGAAGAGAAAAAGAAAACCACTGAGAAAATTGTCTAAGATTTATTGGAAGAGAACTTCCTTAATACGATGAAAGATGAGGCTATATCCATTCAGGAAGTTCAACAAACCCCAAACAGGATAAACCCCAAAAGAAAATCACCAAGACATACCATCATCAAACTCACCAACCAAAGACAAAGAAAGAATCCTGAAAGCAGCACAGGGAAAAATGAAAAGTCACTAATTATGGTAGTTAAGTTTGTGTGTCAACTTGGCTGGGCCTGGTTGAGTGGCTGGGCAGCTGGATGTAGTATTCCTCATGATGAGATTAGTAATCAACCCCATGGTGGAATCTACTCTGAGCAGCTGAGTAGCTGCCATAGGGCTGTGGTCTGCTTCCTGTATATAAGCAGAAGCCTCGAGGAACGGTCTCTAGCTTATGACATGGTTGAACCCTGCATGTAGCCACGTGGTTGTTCAGCAGCCTGCCATGCTCTGCCAACCTTGGGACTTTCAATGGACTTGAAATAATGGCCTGCCGTATGGTTTGGTAACGTCAGGACTGTGCCCATTTTATTTGTCAACCTTGGGCTGTAAGCCTCAGCAGCCAGTAGCTGCCTAAGTGAAGAGATGCTTCCAGCTTCAGTAGGCTGGGAGCAAGAGGCAGAGGTGAATCCCAAGGCTGAGGGGCTTCTACAAAGCCCCTACAGCCTGGCACTTTGAACTTGGACTTAAAAGCCTCCAAACTGTAAGAGAATAAACTCCTGTTTGTTTAAGCCATCCCATTAGTAGTATATTCCTGCCACAGTGGCACTAAGTAACCAAAACACTTACAATCGACAACCAATAAGAGTAAGATCTGATTTCTCAGCAGAAACCATGAAAGCAAGAAGGCAATGGGATGGTATATAGAAAATCCTGAAAGAGAAAAATTTCTAACCAAGGATTATATACCTGGCAAAATTGTCCTGCATATATGATGGTGAAATTAGGAGATTTCCAGATAAGCAGAAATTAAAGGAATTTGTTAAAACCAGACCAACCTTCCACAAGATACTAAAGGGAGTCCTTTGGACAGAGAACCAATAATAGCAAACAACAACTGACTATTAATACACAAGATGACATAACCCAGAAACCAACACAGCTATGGAAGTATCCAATTAAACTTACAAGATTGTAAACCAGGAACCAGAGACATCAATTGGCAAGTGAGAACTATAAACAAAAAGAGGGAAAAGACTGTGTAGTTACAGAACTTCTAAATGGTGAGGAAGTTAAGAGAGTTGCAAGATAAAATGGGCTATTCTAAACTCGGGGAGAAAATGATAAATCACAGGGTAACCTCAAAGAAAAATGATAAACCTTCACATCACAATGAAAAAGAGGACAAGCACAGATATTCAGCAAATACTAAAACAATAACAATAAAGGAAATCATAACGTGATTCACGACCACAATGAGCTCAGCACAGAAAATTGTAAGGAACAAAGAAACCAGAAACACCATGAAAAAACACATAACAAAATGACAGCAACAAATTTGTATTTGTCGATAATTACACTGAACGTCAATGGATTAAATACACCACTCAAGAGATGGGAGAGTTGCAGATTGGATAAGAAAACATAATCCATCAATAGGCTGTCTACAAGAGACATACCTTAGAGATATAGACAAAAACAGACTAAAAATCAAAGGTTGGAAAAGCTATATCAAGCAAAAGGCAAGCAAAAAAGAACAGGAGTGGCAATATTAATTTCTGAGAAAACTGACTTTAAGACAAAAACCACCATACAAGACAAGGAAGGACATTATATAATCATTAAAGGATCAACTGAACAAGAAGATATAACCATAATAAATATCTATGGACCCAATGAAAGAGCCCCCAAAGACATAAATCAGACTTTAAAAGAGTTGAAAAGGCAAACTCCATAATCATAGTGGAGACTTTAATACACCACTTTCAACAAAAGGTAGAACAACTGGAAAGAAACTCAACAAAGATGCAGAAGAGCTTAAACAATGCAATCTACCAACTTGATCTTATAGACATCTACAGAGCACTTCACCCAATAACAGCACAACACACATTCTTTTCCAGTGCACATGGAACATTCTCCAGGACAGACCATATTTACACCATAAAGCAAGGCTTAATAAATTTAAAAACACCGAAATACTGCAAAGCATTTTCTTAGATCACAATGCTATCAAATTAGAAATCAATAATAGGAAGATCAATGGAAAAAGAAAAACACATGGAAACTGAACAACACTCTCCTTAAGAACAACTGGGTAATAGAAAAAATAAAAAATGAAATTAACATATTCCTTGAATCGAACGAGAATGAAAACAAAATATACCAAAATCTTCAGGACACAGCAAAAGCAGTGATCAGAGGCCAATTTATAGCAATAAATGTACACATCAAAAAAGAAGAGCCAAAATCAATGCTTTAAATCAACATCTCTAACAATCACAAACTATAAAATTTGTTTTACTATGCAGAAATTGAAGTTTATTACAACAAACTGCAATTTTTTGAAGTGACAGAAGAGGAAAGAGGACATTAGAATTGAACAAGGAGCTAAGATACTGTACTGTTAGCAGATATTATGACACCAATATTATTAAACATTTGGCAACTTCCTTACTGAATGTACACAAAACACTAATTTACAGTGGTTTATAACATTTCTTGAGATAATAATTTTGCCTCTTTATTACAGGTTCCTAATACATTTTAAGAAAAAATAACTAACAAAAAGATACATAAAAAAAAAAAGGTACATAAAAATTATTTTATGCTATTATTTCACTGATGATGTTATGCAATTAACTTTGATGGAAAGAAAATTTATCATCTCTCAAAATGGGTATTCATTAAAAAAATAATTAATAAAAGACTACATATGTTGAAGACAACTAAGGAATATTAAAAACAGCAGCAGCATTAATAGTAACATTAGTATGAAAATCAGTAACCTTCTTAACGACTACTAACAGGAATTTTACTCATATTCACTAGTTTGGCATGCAAAAAAATTTGTTTTAAAAGGGGAAACATGTTAAAGCTCACCTGGTTTAAAGCTATAAATAATGACTTTATACCGTAAAAAAAACCAAACTCACTGCTGCCAAGTGAGGTCCGACTCATAGCAAGCCCTCCTCGAATTTCCAAGGTGGTATCACTACAAGAGGTAGATTGTCCAATCTTCCTTCTAAGTAGGTGGCGGGTTTGAACCACCGGCCTTCTGATTAGCAGTCAAATGCCTTAGGCTCTATACCACCAGAGCTCCCAATGACTTTACAGGAAGTGAAATTTCAGTCAAATTAAAAAAAAATAACTTTTAATGAATATTTACTATACTCAGAGACTATGTGACACATTTAATATGTTTTTAACTCATTTAATCCTATGATAACCTATCAAGGTAGCTGAACCTTATTTTATAAATGAAGAAATTGGGGTCCAGGAAAATGAAGTAACTTAAGTTGAATTTACATAGCTAGTAAGAGGAAGTATCAGAATTAGAATTCAACTGTATGTCATCAAATTCAGTGTGTTCTTGTTCTATTATTTCACTACTGTTGTTGTATGCCACTGAGCCACTTCTGATTCATAGTAATCCTATAGGACAGAAGAGAGGTCTTCCAAGGCTGTATGCTTTAGGGGAGTAGCTCTGGTAGTGCAACAGTTAAGTGTGTGGCTGCTAACAAGAAGGTCAGTGGTGGTTTGAAGCCCCTAGCCTCTCCATTGGAGAAAGACCTGGCAATCTGCTTCCATAAGTATTCCAGCCTTAGAAACTCTATAAGCAGTTACACTTGTCCTATATGCTTGCTATGAATCAGAATCAACTCTCAAAGGCAACGTTTTTTTTTTCTGGTAATCTTCACAAGTGGAGATAACCAGGTTTTTCCTCCTGCAGAGCCACTGATGGGTTCGAACCATCCTTTCAATTAATAGCCAAGTGGTTAACCACTATGCTACCAGGGCTCTTTATATCACTCAAACCAAAAAACTAAACTCACTGCCATCAAGTTGGTTCCAACTCATAGTGACCTCCATTGGGTTTCCAAGGCTGTATATCTTTATGGAAGTAGATTGCCCTATCTCCTTTCCGTGGAGCAACTGATAGGTTTGAAACACTGACCTTCTGGTTAGCAGCCAAATGCCTTATCCATTATACCACCAGAGCACCTTTATTGTATCACTCAAACTCAAAAACCAAACACATCGCCACTGAGTTCATTCCAACTCATAGGAACCTCCTTTGGGTTTCTGAGGCTTTCCAATCTTTATGGAAGTAGATTGCCCCATCTTTCTTCCATGGAGCAGCTGGCAGGTTTGAACCACCAACCTTCTGGTTAGCTGTCAAATGCCTTAGGCACTATGCCACCAGAGCTCCTTCTTATTATATCACTAGTCCTTCCTAACTGTCTATGGCATCAGTGAAAACCTTAAGTAAATCCCAGAGAATAACCCCATAATCTGTTAAGTTATAATGATCACAAGATAATGAATAGATTTTTCTGTCAACACTCTCTTTTTGGTACCACTCTTATCAGTATGCAAAAGCATACAATACAATTTGTAAGAAAAAAATCAATTTCTAAATATTTGTATCTTTGCAGTAAAGTGTTACCTTTTCCCAGTAGATGAGAGTCTTACAAACAGTTTGTTAGTGATGGGAACAACTTTCTGAATAAAGACCTGTTGATCGTCTCGCTCTCCAAAAGGCCCTTGGTCAGAAAACAAAATGTCAAGAAATTAATTAAAATTTCATTTCATTTCACAAAAGGAACAATATTAATACCCAAAACAAAAATTTTTCAAGCCTATCAAAATGACTGAACAATATCATCAATATCACACACAAGTAAAATTTTGCTGAAGATAATTCAAAAGGGGCTGTGAAACGAGGGATAACACTGCTGACGTCAAATCGATCTTGGCTAAAAGCAAAGAACACCAGGAAGATGTTAACCTGTGTTTTATTTATTATGGAACAGCAATCAACTATGTGGATCATAATAAATTATGGGTAACACTAGGAAGAATGGGAATTACAGAACACTTAATTGTGCTCATGAGGAAACTGTAAATAGACCAAGAGGCAGTCATTACAACTAAACAAGGGGATATTGCACGGTTTAAAATCAGGAAAGGCATGTGTCAGAGTTGTATCCTTTCCCAATATTTATTCAATCTGTACTCTGGGCAAATAATCTAAGAAGCAAGACTATATACAGAATATGGCATCAGAACTGGAGGAAGACTCATTAACAACCTTCAGTATGAAGATGACACAATCTTCTTGCTGAAAGAGAAGAGGTCTTGAAGCAATTACTGATGATGGTCAAAGACCACAGCCTTCAGTATGGATTACACCTCAACATAAAGAAAACAAAATTCCTCACAACTGGACCAATAAGCAACATCACAATAAATGGAGAAAATATGTTGTCAAGGATTTAATTTTACTTGGATCCTCAACCAACACCCATGGAAGCAGCAGTAAAGAAATCAAATGACTTATTATTGCACTGGGCAAATCTGCTGCAGAAGACCTCCTTTAAGTGTTAAAAAGCAATAATGTCACTTTGAAGATTAAGGGGCATAGTATTTTCAATCACCACATATGCATGGGAAAGCTGAACAATGAGTAAGTAAGACTGAAGGAGAATCGATGCCTTTGAATTATGGTGTTGGTGAAGAACACTGACTATACCAGGGACTGCCAGAAGAACGAACAAATCTGTCTTGGAAGAAGTACAGCCAGAATGCTCCTCAGAAGAAAGGATGGTGAGACTTTGTCTCATATACTTTAGACATGTTTTAAGAAGGGACCAGCTTCTGGAGAAGAACATTATGCTTGTTAAAGTATGGGGTCAGTGAAAAAGAGGAAGACCTTTAACAAGATGGACTGACACAGTGGCTGGAACAATGGGCTCCAATGGCAACAATTTTGAGGATGGTCCATGACCAGGCAGTGCTTCATTCTGTTGTACACAGAGTGGCTATGAGTAAGAACCAACTTGAAGGCACCTAACAATAACAACATCAATATGACATTGCATTCCTTGTCAAAACTAAACATAAAATGCAATGCTACAAGTACTTCAAATTCTTTTTTTTTTTTTTAACAGAAATGCCTGATACTTCAAAATTATATGCTAAGCACTAAGGCTGTAAAAGCTGAGGCAATAATTTGCTTAGGACTATACATTAACAACAGCAGAAATAAACTGTAATAGGTAAGGTTATGTGCCACCTTGGCTGGGCAAGTGACTTGAGTGGCGTGGCAGATGGATACAGTTATTTCCCATGATGAGACTGGATGTGGTATAATCACTTCCACGGTGGAATCTGCCTTGAGCAGCTAATTAGTCGACAAGCAGTTGCCTTCAGGGTGTGCCATACTTCCAGCATATATGGTGAAGCTTTGGGAAGAGTCTCTTGCTTTTTTGCTCATGTTGAATCCTGCATTTGGCCAGTGATCGTCTCCAGTTCTTGGACTTGAACCAGTGACCTGTCGTGTTGCCTGCAAATCTTGGGATTGTTGCCACTGCAGCCTGTGAGCCAAAAATGTACGATACTGTCTGCCAATGTTGAGTTCGTCAGCCCCTTTAGCTTTGTGAGTCAGGAGATGCCTCCAGTTTGCTCCTGTGGGCCTAGAAAGCAGAGCTGGAGCCCAACGTCGAAGGGTGTCCACCCAGCCCCTAGAGCTGGCACTCTGAATTTGGACTTCTAGTCTACTCTTCCCCTAGAGCCAACAGTCTGAACTTGGACTTCTAGCCTCCTAAACTGTAAGAGAATAAATTTGTTTGTGAAAGCTGTGGTATTTGTTATAGTAGCACTAGAGAACTGAGACACCTATATACACATCAATTCCATATTTATTATCTTTGGGTATATGTTAAATTCCTCAGAACTCCAAAAGAGGAGATTTATAAAGTTATCTTATGTACTGATTTTAGCTTTCTGAAAAGCCAACATGCAAAATCTTTAAAAATGGTATGATTTCATTAAATTGAATTTAATTGTCAGAAGCCTCCATCAATCAGGCTTTTTTTTAAAAAAAAAAAAAAGATGCCAATCAAAAGAACACATTTTATATAGCGCAGTAATAGAAACATTAACAATACAAAATTCACTACTGAATTGCATTCTGCAAGGTTTTAAATCTAAAAAGAAATATTCAATTATTTTTACTATCTTGTACTTGGCAAGGCAGGTAAATGGTCCACTGTATTTTAAAAAGATTTTGAACAACAATATAAAGAAAAAGTATTTTTATGTAAAACTTAAACATAAAATTTAAATAGCAATTATTTTTTCCATTATCCTTAGTTAAAATACCAGCTTATTCATAAAAGTTTCTCTTACAAAAAAAACTTATGCACAAAAAATTTGTAAAGACAATATATTTGAAGTAATCAATCCAATGTGACTCATACCTAATTCATAAATGAAACAATTAACGTATTTATTATTAGTTAGTATATGCTTACATAGTGCTTACTATGTGCCACAGTAAATGCTTTACAAATATTAATTCATTTTAATCGTAATAAAAGGAGTCTTGGTGGTGTAAACTGTCAAGAGTGTGCAACTGCTAACAAAAAGGTTGGCAGTTGAAACCCACCTAGCAAATGTGGTAGAAAGATCTGATGGTCTGTTTTGGTAAAGATGCTACTGAGATGATTCTGACACACAGTGACCCCCCACCCCCATTGGGTTTCCAAGGCTATGAATCTTTACAGAAGTAGATTGCCTCATTCTTCCTCTCATGGAACAGCTGGTGGGTTTGAACCACCAAACTTCTGGTTAGCATCCTGATGCCTTACCCACTACCACGAAAACCCTATGAAATAGTTCTAGTCTGTCATCACATGAGGTTCACTATGAGTCAAAATTAAGTCAGTACAACCTAACAACAATAGTAATCATCGACCACCACCACCAACAATGAGGCTTTGGTGGCTTAGCAGTAGAATTCTTGCCTTCTACACAAGAGACCTGAGTTAAGATTCTCAGCCAATGTATTTCATGTGCAGCCACCACCCATCTGTGTGTGAAGGTCTGCATGTTGCTATGATGCGGAATAGGTTCAGTAGAGCTTCCAGACTAAGGTAGACTAGAAAGGCCTGGCAATCTACTTCTTATGAAAACCTTATGCATGAAAACAGTCCAATTTGTAACTGAGCATGGGGATAGTACAGGACTGAGCAGCATTTTATTGTACACGGGGTCATTGTGAGGCAGGGGATGACTCAGCAGTAGCTAACAATAACAACAGCATCACAATGAACATAGAGTGGAAGTATTATTATCTCCATCTTACAGAAGAGAAAATTATGGCACCAAAAGATCAGTTAATCAAATATCTCATAGGCCCTACGTGATAGAACTGGAATTACCAAGCTTACTGGCTCCAGAGTCTGGTTCTTTACTATGCTTTGCATTCACTCTACTGCATGCCTTCCTGACATTTAATTCTATTGAAATGAAATGACAGTTCTCATCCGATAACCCATAAACAAAGTGAAAAGTAGTAACACATAACTAGGAATGAGACTAAAATACATTAAGAAATTGTTTCTTTTTCCCCTGTAACTTTATACAACTTTGAAATTCTCCCATAATGTAAATTCTTATACCTTTCTTTATTAACTACTCCTTCCAAATTCTTATTTCTCCAACCCATCTCCCCACATTAGCTTTTGTTCCTTCAGAACACAATATACCCTCAAATCTTTTCTATCTTAAATGAGGGTGCAAGGAGGAGGAATATAGAAAATGACATTTGAACTCCTTAACCTTCTATTTAGCCTCATTAGTTCTTTCTTTCATAACTTCCAATATTCATTTATTACTCATTTACCCACTGTAATCTAGATTCCAACCATACAACCCTACTGAAACTGGACTTTATTCTGTGCCTCTGATCTATGTGTCTCTTATGTTACTTTTTAAACAAAAACTATACAGAGAAAATAAAAACCCTTCTGTCTCCTTTCCAGTATTTTACAGGGCTGTTACAGGTATTTTATGGGCTGCTTCTAAGTATCTTTTTACTCACTTTATACATGTTCTCCCTGAATAATCCCACCTACTCCCAGTGTTTCAACTACTTATATGCTGCCAACTCCTAATATCCAGCTGAGATCTTCCTCCAGAGGTCCAATCTCTGTATGTTAACACCTAATGGAATCCACAGGCAACATCACTCAAAATACACAAATCTGAGCTCATCCTCTTTTCAAGTAAGTCCTTCCTATTTTTCTCTATTTCAGTTAACTAACACTAAGTTATCCCATTTCCCAAGACAGAATCTGAGGGCCATTCTAGACTCTTTCTTCTTCCTTTTCTGTCAGATCTAATCAATTACCATGCCCTTTCGTTCTTACTGAATTCATTTCCTTCTCCCTAGATAATTAATAAATTCCTCCTTCCTGGTTTCCTTGCTTCACTGCTCCCTAGTCTTTTTGCACACTCATGAAGCAATGAATTATGTACTATAAAAATCTAATATCATTCTCAAAATTCTTCAAAAGCTTCTCTATTATGACATAAAATCTACAAAGGCCTTCCATAATCTGGCCCCTGCCTATCTGCCCTTATTTCCTACTCTGCTCACCCATAAGCATTAAATTCAGTAATTAATAACTTTTTATATTCCAAGCTTGCCAGGGTCTCTTGGCCTCTAATCTTTTAAGATGCTGTTTTTCTCTTCTAGAAATGTCCCAACTCAGGAAATATCCATACCCACCAAACTCCTACTCAACCTTCATGTATCAAATTCAAACACTACTACCTCTATGAAGCAATCTCTGCCTGAATATGCTTCCTTAAATGTTAAGTGGGGGATAAATATCTACTCATATAATTGTCAAGAGGGTTAAATGAGAGTATAACACTTAGCAGTGAACCTGGCACTGTTTCCCTATATACCTAGTGACTGTGTAAACTACAACTGCTGGCTTTTTATTCCCATTACTCATTTTACTCTAAGTTGATGCTACCTACGTATTTTTTAAAATTTATAATTCCTGTCACAATAGTACTCTATAAACATCTGTTGAATAAATAAAAATACAAGCTTCCAGTTCTCAGCATAATATAGAGAACTGGGATCACAGAGCAATTGTTAAAATTCACAACACTGAGAATTTTTTCTAAAAATACTAACTGGAGGAGTAAAATTCTCATTAATAGCTTATGTTTTCTAAAGATAACTACTTTGACATCTACCAGAGCCTATTCTGGATGGATATAAATTCAATAGTTTCATGTAAATCAATTATAATGTGTCTTTCCCATTCTCCATCAATGTTATAATTCTAGTTTATAAAAAAATGATCAGAAAGTACATTAGTTAACCAACAGCTCCTACAGAACTACTGTATAACAGTGAGATACAACTGCACATATAAATTCTTTCAAATGAGGCCTTGGAAAAATAATCTGTCTCAATAAAGACATACATTTGTGTGTGTGTGCAAGTGCATGTAGGCATGCGTGCATATATGTGTGTGTAAGGTGTATGGGAGGAAGAATCTATGTAACTTTTGTTGAAATCAGAGTTATCAGTGCAGACAAGCTACACTGTTTCTTAATGAATCATATTACGAATCCCATCATAATTACTCTCAGTATATAACAACACCAGCTTCAAATTTTATTTTCAGTAGATTAATTACTCATTACTTTTTCCTTTTATTTCTTGTTAAATAATAAAAAATGTAGCAGTAATGTAATTTTGTGAATTCACAGAATTTCTTCAGAAACATGTCACAAAATGTGTTTTAAAAGAGTTTCAAAATTAAGACAAAAAACTTGTATTAAATCTCATTTTTAGGTTTCTAGTAGAATTAGTATCTTTTGCATTGCCCACAAAGCATTTGAAAATGTTCCAAATAATCTAACCTACCTATGTCATTTCCAGAGGAATAGCTACCATGACTTTCTGTCTCCTCCAGAGACAGTATCTTGAATGATGCTAAAGGAGTAGAACCAGGCTGAGTAGAGATCATTCCTCTGAATCGTGTTACTGTCCAAGTACGAACATGATTATTATCTGCACAAACTAGGAAAGAGAACACAATAGAGTTGTTAAATATAGATTGTAAGAGCATCAACATCACTCATAAACAACATTTAACTTTTTTTATTTTTTCACAATGATCTACATTAAAAAGATCATAGCACATACTGAAGGGAAAATGATATATTTATCTCAAAATTATAGTTAACATGGTACACCAAGGCAACAAAAGTGAGAATATTGAATATGGGTTTATCTTTCTGGAAATTTAAGGTATTAGCAAATCTATGGATCCTTATAAATACAGATTGTGGGGTATAATGTTAGGGTTATGTTTAAAAAAAAAATGTAAGAGAGGAAGTTGAATATTATCCTGTTCTGTGGCTAAACTTCTACATACCAAATAAGTTGTCTGGATTATTTTTTTCCAATCACAGAGATTATTTCTGCTTATGCTATTCAACAATTAAACAAACTAGATTAGGAGTTAAGGAAAAATTGTTAGCACAAATGATATTTCTCAAATACATGTGTAGAAACTAGCTATTTGTTGTCCATTCAGTTACATTAAGGAAAAATAAGGTTATGTGTGAAAGCTGAAAATTATGTTTACTTCAAAAAAAAGTTTGCATTTAAGAAATATGCTCCACTTAATATTTATTAAATGAAAATAATATTAAATGGGTATATACTGAGGTATTTCCTAACATAACCCATCTCAATTTTTTGTACTGAATACACACTGCACTAACCAAAAAAAAAACAAACTCATTGCCATCAAGTCGATTTGATTCACAGCAACCCCTCCTTGGGTGTTTAAGGCAGTATTTCTATGGAAGAGTGCCCAATCTTCCTTCCAAGGAGTGGCTGGGGGTTTCAACTGACAGCCTTCTGGTTAGCAGTCAAATATCTTAGGCACTACACCACCAGAGCTAGAAAATATAAAATAAAATAAAATAAATACCTACAAAAATTGTAGGTTTTTCCCATGTCTTCATAAAAAAGTATACCAAATCACCATTTATTATGATTTCAGACAATGTGCTCTTATTAGCAATGTGTTATGAACTCATCAGTGATAATTAGGAATGTATACAAAAAACACACATTTCCTATGTAGTAAAATGTTACAGTTGTACATTTTAAACAAAACTTTAAAAATAAATTTACTTTTGGCAAACAGTAACAAAAAACATTCTGAACAGTTTTACTTTTATGCACTAAAGTTCTCAATTTCTCAGAATGTTAGTTTTCTGGTAAAAAAAGACATTTAGTTCCAGGCTGTTTAATCAATTTCCTAATAATCATTTCCTGGTTTCACCATGAGGTTGCAGATTCAGAAAAATAATTTAAGTATCTTTGGCCTATTCCACTGCGAAGTCATGGCAATTTTGTTAAATGTTGTTGTTGTTGTTGTTATGTGCCACTGGATCAGACCCGACTCATAGCGACCCCTCCTTGGGTTTCCGAGGCAGTATCACTACGGAGGTAGATTGCCCATCTTTACCTCAAGTTTGTATTTAAGGTGTTAAAAAGAACAGTATGCAAAAAAGTTATTACATAATTACATAAATGCTGAGATCCACCAGGTGGCAGAATAACACACTGAGTACACACTGCATACTCCAGGTTTTTGGTTAAAGTAGACATTTTACTTGATAAATTTATTTAAATTTCAAACCTACATGAAATACCTAATGTTAAAATGCAAATTTTGCTAAACAGTTATTTGCATTCTCCAATAACATTAGCACCTTCAAAACAATAGCAATTATTACCGAGCAACTCTGAGTTGTTGTTGTTGTTGTTATTTGCCATTGAGTCAAACCCGACTCATAGTGACCCCCCTTGGGTTTCCGAGGCAGTATCACTACGGAAGTAGGATTGCCCAACCTTCCTTCCGAGGAGTGGCTGGTGGGTTTGAACCGCCAGCCATCTGGTTAGCAGGCAAGTGTCTTAGCCACTATGCTACCAGAGCTCCCGAGCAACTCTGAGTACTGTCCTTTAAACATCACCAACCCTACCAGTCTCTTTTCTCAGAGGATCAGAATACTTTATTTCATACAACAAATATTTATTCCGTATCTTCTATGAACCAGAACTATATTAAATGCTGAGAACGGGGTAGAAAGTAAAAGCTTCTACTATGGTAGAACTTGTGTTCTAGAAGAAGGATGCAGGTAATAAGCAAATAAATGATCAAGTGATAAGTTAAGAAAGAAACAAACCAAGGTATTGTTAGAGAAGTAACTGCTAGGAGTTTGACTAATTTAGCCAGTGTGGCTAAGGAGGTCTTCATTGAGGAGGTATTTGAAATGGGACTCAAATAACTGGAAGGCAGTTAAATAAATATCTAGAGGAACAGTATTTTCAAGTAAAGAGAAAAACAAGTGTAAAGGTCCTAAGGCATTTTTAAGAATTAGAAAGACCAACAGAACAGAGTGTAACGAGCAAGGAAAAACACGGGACGTAGATCCGAAAGGCAGACAGAATCCAGAACAGAGAGGGCCATACAGGCCAAGGTATGATATTTAAATTTATTCTAAATACAATTTAGGGAAGCCATTGGGAGTCAGATCTGTCTTGTATTTTTAAAAGCTATTTCTGGCTTCAGTGTGGAGTATGAACTATAGAGAGGCAAGACAGAAAGAGGAAAAGAGGTGAGAAGCTACTGCAATAATCTAGGAGATAAATGATTTATTAGACAGGTAGCACTTTGTCTCTACAAAGTGAATGAAGTGATCAGATTTGTGACATACGTTAGAGTAAAGCCAACACTACTTTATGGATTGTGCAAATATAGGGGGTGAGACAAAGGGAGGAATAAAAGGTGAATCCTGTATTTTCAGATTGAGAAGATAATGATATCGTATACTAAGATGGCTTCTGAGAATACAATCAAAAGTTCTATTTTGTTCATGTTAAATTTGAGATGCTTATTAAACATACAACTGAAGATATAAGGGGAGTGGAGATATATGTTTAAAACTCTGTGGATGGTCAACAGTTGGAGGAAAACTATCTATGAGTCAATGGCATATAAATAATACTTAACACTCAAGTCATCAGGTAAAGTTAAGACAAGGAAGAAAATCAAATATCTAGGAAAGAGGCAGGAACAGTCTAACACTTAGCAATTAGGTGAAAGAAGAGGAACCAGCAACAGAGAAAGACTCTTCAGGGAGGCAGGTGAGTATTAGGCAAATATTGCTTTATGGAAGCCCAAAAAACAGACTGTTTCAAGAAGAAGGGACTAGTCAACTGTGTCAAATACTGACATGTCATGTGAAGATGATCACAGAAAAATGAACACTGTATCTTGTTGTTGTTGTTATGTGCCGTCGAGTTGGACCCGACTCATAGCGACCCCTCCTTGGGTTTCGACGTAGTATCACTACGGAAGCAGATTGCCCCATCTTCCTTCTGAGGAGTGGCTGGTGGGCCTGAACCTTCTGGTTAGCAGTCAAGTGCCTTAGGCACTATGCTACCAGAGCTATCTAGGGATAAGCAAATCAAAGGTGACCTTAGAAAGCAGCTTCTGTAGCATACTTGGGGTGGACGACCAATTAGAAAGGTAGAGGGAAGAATGGAGAATCAGAAAGCAGTGACAGGCAACTATTTCAAGAAGTATGATTATAAAGGGTACATGGAATCAAGAGTGATTTTGTTTCTTTGTTATTGTTGTTATTTCTGTTGCTATGGATTATGCTAGAGTATATCTGTATGCCACCAAAGATTGTCCAGAGAAGGAAAGAAATTAATGATGATGTGATAAAGAGAGTGTGTTTTATAGGTAGGTAGTGCCTAAGGCATCTGACTGTTAATCAGAAGGTTGGCGGTTCAAACCCACCAGCCACTCCATGGAAGGAAGACTGGGCATCTACTTCTGTAAAGATTTACTCCCTCAGAAACCCAGAGGCAGTTGCTATGAGTCAGAATCAACTCAGTGAGTTTGGTTTTGGTAATGTGTTGACAAAACACAGGTTCTTTTGAGGAAAAACCATTGCATAGGTACTTGTAAGTAGAGTGCTTTTTCAAAAGATCAAAAGCGGGAGGGGATACAAGCAACGAAAGAAACAATAAATTGGACATCACCAAAATTAAAAACTTTTGTGCACCAAAGGACATTATCAAGAAAGTGAAAAGACAACCTACAGAACGGGAGAAAATATTTGCAAATCATGTATCTGGTAAGGGCTTAATATGTAGTTAAAATTCAACCACAAAAAAGACATACAACTCAATTTAAAAATGGAAGAAAAACCTGAATAGGCAAGAAGTTATGGAAATGACCAATAAATGCACCAAATTGAAACCACACTGTGATACCACTTTATACCTACTATGATGGCTGCTATTAAAAACACCAACAGGGACAAAAAATAGGAAAAAACAAGTGTTGGCAAGGATATGGAGAAACTGAAGCCCTTATCCATTTCTGGTATGGAGTAAAATGGTATAGCTACTAGGGAAAAGTTTGTTAGCTCCGACAAAAGTTAAATGCAGAATTACCATATTACCCAGCAAAACTCAAAAGAACTGAAAACAGGGACTCAAAATATTTATATGCCAATGCTCCTTGCAGCATCATTTACAATAGCCAAAAGGTAGGAACAACCCAAGTGTTCATAAACAGATAATGGATAAACCAAATGTGATATGTAAGTACAGTGGAATACTATTGAGCCATAAATAGACTCCACTATACTACCACATGAATGAACCTTGAATATATTATGCTAATCAAAACAAGCCAGACACAAAAGGACAAATATTGTATGATTCCACTTATATGAAATATCTAGATTAAGCTAATTCACAGAGACAGAAAGTAGGTAAGAAGTTACCAGAGGGTGGGACAAGAGGAGAATAGAGAGTTATTGCTTAACGGGTACAATTTCTGTTTATGGTTATAAAAAGTTTCAGAAACAGACAGTGATGATGGCTACACATTATGAATGTAATTAATGCTGTTGAACTATATACATAAAAACAGTTAAAACAGAAACATTTTATGTTATATATATAAATTACCATAAGAAAAAAAAAAATTAAGCCTCCTAGGGGTTAAGTAGGGAGCTCTGGTAGCATAGTACCTAAGGCATATGACTGCTAACGAGAAGGCTGGCGGTTCAAACCCACCAGCCACTCCTCGGAAGGAAGATGGGGCAATCTACTTCCGCAGTGATACTGCCTCAGAAACCCAAGGAGGGGTCGCTATGAGTCAGGTCTGACTCGACGGCACATAACAACAACAACAACAGGGGTTAAGTGGTCAAGACCTGCCTCTGTGCCCTTCATTCACCTGAACTCTACTTAATAAAAGTATTGTCTTTTTCCACATATAATGCGCCCACATAAATAATATGCACACATATCTAACACACAAGGTGCAGTTAAGAAACAAACATGTGAGGGGGTTGCACAGTTTGCAAAACTTGTGTGTTATTTGCATAAAAATATGATAGTCCCATTTTAATCTGACTATATATTGAATCTCTATATAATTTTAAAGGCGTTCTGTGGCGCAGTGGTTAAAGCATTTGGCTGCTAACCAAAAGGTTGATGTCTTGAACTCACCAGCTGCTCCATGGGAGAAAGATGAGACATCTGTTTCTGTAAAGACTTCCAGTCTTAGAAACCCTACGGAGCAGTTCTACTCTGTCCAGTAGGGTCATCATAAACTGGAACCAACTCGATGGCAGTGGGTTGGTCGGTTGGTCTATGTAATTTTAGAGTCACTTACTTTATGCATCATTATTACTACAAACAAGAACACTCATGCATTTAATACTTTTCTTCTAAGTATAAAGAGCTAAAGTATTTAATAGTATCTCAGTACAGTGTTTTATAATCTAGTTTTAATTACACCCAAAACAATTAGCTATTCAACATAACCATATTCATTCATTCATTTATATAAGGCCAAGGTATTTCAGCCCCACTTGGTGTTTAAATTACACTAGAGAACAGTGAAAGAAACATCAGCTTTTTTATATTAGGTAATTTTCATATGAACAAACCTGATATGTGAGAAGGATGTTAACAAAACTAAGTTTGGCAAGAGATACCCTACAAAAGATTTAACATAAAAGTGCCTTTAAATACAAAGTTCTACTGATATACCTGAGTCATGATCCAATCTTAACCTTTTTCGAAATCACCTATTACACAAGTGAATGATAAAATTCTTTCAATGGTATTTCACTTTGTGATCAGTAGTGCTTGTTAAGCTCAAAAATTTAGTGTCCTAATGTTTAAAAACTTCATATGAGGACAGAGGAGCCCTAGCAGCACAGTGGTTTTAAGTGTTTGGCTGCTAAATGAAAGGATGGCAGTTCACGCTCACCACCCGCTCCATGGGAGAAAGATGAGGTAGTTGGCTTCCGTAAAGATTATAGCCTTGGAAACCCTATGGAGAAGCTCTACTCTGTATTACAGGATCACTACGAGTCAGAATCCACTCAGTGGCAATAAGTTTGGGTTGTTTTTTTCTTTTTTTGGTTTGATTAAATGAAAATAATAGAACTACAAAACCCACAAATGTGTTGCTTTGTTCCAATTTCTTTATACATTCTACTAATTTTTTTTTTAAATAATTTTTGCCCTTCTGGTGCCCCGTGAACAAATGCTCCAAGGGATTCATCTCCATAGGGTATGTGGGTGTGTTACCCTGGGTTGAGTGGTCCGTGTGTATGTACATCTTGTTTACTACTGGGCTGAGAGCCAGGCCCTGAGAGTGAGTTTTATTCAAGGCCCAAAATGTATTCCAAGGCCATAGTATTGGGGGCCTCACCAGACTCTATCTGACCAGTAATTCTGGTCATTACTATGTTTTTGGATTTTGTTCCACATTTTTCCTTCCACTCTAGCCAGGATCTCCAGTACTCTCCTGAGTGGTTGGCATTGATAGCCAGGCACCATCTAGTTCTTCAGGTCTCAAGGGCCATCATGTCCCAGGGCTGACGCTTCCAAATGCCTTTGGTTTTTTGCACTCTTCTTCACTTCTAACAATAGGATACCATTAGCTGCATCTTATATGGCCACCTGAAAGCTTTTAAGACCCCATTCGCTACTCACCAGCGTAGGATGAGGAACAAGATTTTTAATGTATTTTGTTGTGCCAATTGAGTCTGGTGTCCCCCAGTTCTATGGTCAGTCCTGAGTCGGTAGATCTGTTGGATCTCTCTCCCACAGTGTCTGTACATTCAATTAATTTTTATAAGATGATTTAACATTAATAAACACATTTAAAGCTACATCTTTAGTATTAAACCTTAACTCATTATATATCAATTTATTCTTGGAAAATATCTCTAATAAAGAACTCAACAGCATTATGGTATTTTGAAATGAAATATGACATGAGAAAACAATACATAAGACTAGAAAGCAAATAAAAGATACTTTCTAAATTTATATAAACTACAACCATAACAAAATCAAAGAAATCTTTCAAAGAAAATCTTGACATTTCTTTAGTTATTAACCTTTTCTACCATTTCTTTTATTATTTTCCTCACATAAGACACTGATTTTATAGTCTCTTACTCTGTAGAAAGAGTGTGGAAAATTACACACTGGTAAAATTTTACATGAGATGAAAATCCTTATCAGTAATGATAACATCACTTTACCTGATACGAGATGCTTCTCTGACAACATGATTTTTGTAACAGGACTCCGGTGAACTGTGAAAGTCTGGAAAAGCTGAGGGCCTGACCCAACTGTCTCTGGGTGTTGTACAATTACTCGTACTGCTCCAGAGCTCGTACCATAGGCGATCTCAATCCAGTTACCGCTGACACCTACACAAAGCCAGAAGTGGACAAGTGTTATAGTAGATGACAATGATTTTATAGCAGATGACTATGTCCTTGCAAAGACTTCCTGTGATATAAGAGAAAGAGCTGGAACAAGTGAGTGGCTGGCTTACACACTTTCATGGGTGTGGTTATTCTTCAACTGATGGTAAAGGGGATGTGAACTTTTGAAGTATAAAAGGGATAATGGCTAGAAAAGCCAGGGGGTGGCCTGCAGTGTAGTAAATTACTTTGTGTGGCTTTTCTACCCATAAGTCTTTGTAAACTCCAAAGTGGGATTTGCTATGAGCAACGAGGAGCTCCTAATTGCTGAAGGTGTCCACCTGGAGTATTTCTGTTGGGCGTGGCACAAAACAATGTTCTGGGAGGTGCCCACTCTCTCTCAGGTGCTTAGAGTTCTGATGCTATAATTGGCTAGTTTGACTACCCTGCGGGCTCTAAAGGAGACCTCCTGGAGGCAGAACTCTCTCTGACTGCTGGTTGAGGAAGACATGCTGCTGAAAGAGACACGGGCTCCTGAGACACGCGTTGCTGGGAAAGAGACGCAAGAGACACTCATTGTTGAGTGAGACACCGAGGGACCAGCACTGCTGCTGGGAAAGAGACTGTGAGAGACTGTTGGCTGAGGGACGGTGGGCTGGGAGAGAGACTGAGCATTCTTCCTGAACTTGAGTTGTAGCCTGGTGCTTCCCTAATAAACCCTGTAATCTGTGAGTTCTGTGTGGCCATTGCAGCGAATTATCGAACCCAGGAGAGAGGTGGTGGGTGCTTTGGGAGGAACGGTTGGTGAAAGGGCTGGAGGGAGGCAGCATGTTTGGCCTTGCAGTAATAGGCCTTGGGTTACTGCTGGTAATCCTGTCTTCCTCTTGTGAGATTAGAGGAGGTCAGAACATGTGGCCTCCTTGCCGTTTTTGCAAAGGGTTAGCACCAGCCCAGGATCCAATTCAGTAGAAAAATCTTAAAACTTCTCTGACCATCTTAAAAATCATTATTTCCGTTATGAATCTTTTCCTAACCCTCACTCCAAGACAGAACTGCTCATTTCCTTCCTTGTACTATGTATTGCATTGTATCATAGCAACTATAACACACTAATCCTGTATTTCCATGTCTATCCGCACCTATTCCTTGTTGATAGAGAATGCACTGTAATCATTCTTTTTAGTCTTTGGCCGTTTAAAGACTATATGAGACATAGTAAGTACTTTATAAATTTTTAATGAATTAATAAATTTGATATGCTAAGGATTCACTGAAACAACATAGTATTCCTAAAGCAATATTCCATATAACCTCTAGGCTAGAATGACCTCTGTTTGACTTTTGTTACAATATTGAATCTTCTTTGAATAATCAAAAACATACTATTATTTAACAGTTTCAAAACACTGGACTATGAGGAAAAATACATACCCCTTACGTTGTACTCACCAAGGGCTGCCTCTTTTAATTCTGCAGCTATCTCATTTCTGTCAGGTTCATAATACGGGTTTTTTTTTTTACAAAAAAAAAAAAAAAACACATCTTA